ATGATATCTGAAGAGTATCAAAAAATTTTAAAGTTTGTAATATTTGCAGATGACACAAATATACTGTGTTCAGGTGTGGAATTGACATAGGTCTTGGAGTTGATCACACAGGAATTAACAATATTAAAAAAGTGGTTTGATATAAATGAACCATCATTGAATCTAGATAAAACCAGATTTATGTTATTTGGAAACCAAAAGAAAAACATGAAAATTGACATTTGTGTGGATAATGTATATTTAGGAAGAGTAAATTAAATTAAATTTCTTGGTGTGATCAATGACCATAAGCTCTGTTGGAAGCCACACATTACTTATGTTCGGGGGAAATTGGCATGGGTCGTTGCCATCCTGGGGAAAGCAAAGATGTTGGATCAGAAAGCCCTGCACATGTTCTACTGTACTTTACTACTGCCGTTAATGAGTTGCTGTGTAGAGGGCTGGGCAAACGCATACAAAAGCAACATACAGACGATAACTATAATACAGAAAAATACGGAAAACTGCTGCCACCTAGCTATTGGAGTTTGCATTGCACCACACAAGATGTTCAGTAAAGGTTTGCATGAAAATTCTCAATAAAATTGATTCACTGCATTTAAATATTGATTCAGTATCATAAAACAAACTCTCACAATATTTCAGTGTATCAATTCTTTCTTGCATTGCTAGTCATGAGTTGCTGTTAGGGTTAGGGTTACTCCGGATGTCTTCTTGTCATGGTGATGCCACTTTGACTCCTATCTGATGCAAAAAGCACAGGTTTCAGCACTTTGCAGATTTGCTGTGACTGCATTGCCTCTGGTCAAACAATCCTGCTGATCATATTAGCCTTTCTTTGTATCCTGTGTTTTTTAATTTGCATGTCCACGGTCATTATACAAATCTCCAAATGTCACCAAAGCTTTCAGTCTAATCTGATTGGACAAAAAGTTTGGGTTTTTAATGGTGACTCAGATTATAATTATAAAGAAGAAGTCTGTCTGTTTTTAGTCTGGAATTTAGTTCTACGCTTGTTTTTGCTCCAAGGTTGATTTTATTGTTCGTAGCTCAAACTGAGGCTCAGACATATTTGTTTGGTTCTGTTGCTGTCCGTCATCATGGACCATGGCTAATGATACAGACTAGAGATGGATAAGAGGAGCATCATCCTGAACACAAACAAGCATACACTACAAATCTGTCTGGATTTGGATGCTGTTATGTTGCCGTAGAGGACGCAACCCCAAAGCCTCTCTGGCCCGCAGGAAGGCAAATCTCAACTGCAGTTACTTTTCTCCAATGGAGACTTAATAAATTGGGCCAATTTAATTTCGCCCTATGGCAATGCTGCACAGTCGTTAGCTTGGCTTGCACAAACATGAGTAGTAATGTGTGTACAGATGATGTGATTTTGTCTCATCAAACAATAAGTCTAAGCATTTAGCAAAATTGGGGTTGTTGGGGATCCAGGTGTGTTTGTTGAAATTGTCAACGTTTCCTCTCTTTGAAGTCTACTTGCTGTGCAGCCGCCCTCGGCATGTGCCGCAGCTGGTCCCAGCCTTAGCAACCGACCGCCAGGCAGACATTAACACTGGAGAGAGAACCTGTCATAGTCGCAGACCTGTGTTCGACCCTGTTTGTGCTGATGATGGCATGGTGCAGGTTATGGCTGACTGACTCTGATGTAGGACATCCTGAGTCTTGTTGCCAGACTTCATCACCATGCTTAACCCCACCCCTGGTTAGTAAATTTTTCAGTCCGCTCTGGGTTGCAGGAAGGCGGGGGCAGCTGCCACGAGACGTTAGTGTCTGTAGAAGGAAGTCAGACGTGAAGACGCACCTTAACAAGACCCTTTTGTTTAGAAACACAGTAAATTCCACTGTCTCAGACGAGTTCAGGCTCTGTCTGCGCTCTCCAGGAATGACCCCAACTGCTGGCTGTTAGGGGTATGAGATTATTCCAGTTTTACCACAATGGCCTCATTAACATATTGTGCATGAAGACATTCAGGACATGGTTGCAGAGGGATCCAGTGTTGCAGTGGGGATGAATCTGACCTGAAAACCAGTAGCGGTGGCTGTATGTCGTGTTCTGTTAGAACTGGCATCATATAGCAACAAACATCTGTGCATTAGAGAGGTTTGAGTCACCAAAGACCTCTGAGAACATCATAACTTATCTTGACTACTGACACGACCAAGAAGCTGTGTGAGTTTTGCAGAAAACAAAAATGATTAAAAAAATCCAGTGACTAAAAAACAGATTAGCTGTGTTGGGGTTATTAGGAGCGAACAATTCGTAAGCGTTAACTTACTTTTGGATTCTTCAATAAATTCTGTAAATATGTAAATATTTACTGATTTATTAATTAATTAAGATATTCTTAGATATACGGGGCACCATTCCCCTTTAACCGGGGAAAAATTGAATCCAAAACTCTTATCAGTCTTTCTTGAAGTTCGTAGAATCCTTGGAGCAGAGACTTCTCTTCGACACAACAAAGCTACTGGAGACGAAAATCTGAATTTTATAACGTTTAATTAACAATTTGTCAAATGAATAAACAGTGGCATAAATGAATAATAACCATGTGATATAATAAAAGGATGTATATTCAAAATAATGTTCAAGGTGTTTTGTGTGTATGTAGGATGTATGAATGGGGTCCTTTGTTCTCACAAAGGAGTAGTGTGTGTGCGTGTGTATGGATTCAAAATGGAGTCTTGAATACAAGATGGCTGACTCCTTTGTCTGGCTAAAGTGTGGGTGGCAACTTGCACTTTAACTTCCAAAGCACTTAGAATCAGTAGTAACTTAACCTTAAATCACTCAAAACATTTCAAAGGATCATGCAACAACACAAAAGATTAATCACGAGTTAATATCCTTAGTTTATCAGCCTGGCCATGGCCGAACATTTAAAGATACCAAACAATGATTAATAAGCAGTTTATTCTTTCAAAATGACCCGAAGGACGAATTTGGAACGAAAGAGGAAAACACGAAGCTACTTTTTTTAAGCAATAGCGCGGTTTTATTGCTTATTCTGGACTATAGAGGAAACGGGAGAAGAAAAGAATGAGAGAAAAATGAGTTTTCTGATCACCAAAAGAGCGAGGCGTCCCTCCCCCTTTTGATTTGACGGTTCTCCGTGTTTCTCCGCAGTTTTCAGCGTCATCCGCCGGTTTGATGCTTTCTCCGTTGTTTGGCTCCACGAGTGTTTCTCCACGGCTGGACACAAAGAAAACGAAGTTCCTTTTGGGCTGAGTTTGACAACTTACAGCGTTTCTGAGAGCTGGATGGAGTTGTTGTTTCCCTCCGCTGGTTCTGTGTCCTCAAACATCAGCTGGAGGGGAGCAGAAACGAGCAGATCAACGGTCCCGTGGGCTCAACTTGGCTCTTAGAGCTTCCGCGTGCTCAAAGAAGTCGGAGCGTTCGACAAGCGTGTCCTCACCGCCAGGTATCCTGGGCAAAAGAACGAGGATTCTTTGTCTCTGCTGAAGATTTATGGTCTTAGTTCGCGGGAAAAGCTCCACGGCTTCCCGCACATGCGCAGAACGTGTTTCTGGTACTAGGCGGTAACATCACCCAATGCTTCCGTGTGCAAAGCATCATGGGAAATGAAGTTTCTTGGCGCTGATGTGATTATTTGCTTTCCAGAGCAATTTAAGCACAGTCATTTTGGAGAAAATCACTGCATAGTAATTTCCTCATGAGGTCAGACCCTCAACAGCTGCAAGTTAGGAAAGCCCGACTTCCACAAATGACTTAGTTCAGTAAGGGTTTTTGACATGCTTTTGTGCTATTAGCTTTTAATTATTATTCAAGAAGGATTATGATAAGATAGTATCAACATGTGACTTTCATTATGAAGGCCACAAAAGAGAAATGGCTTTCATGCTAGTTAATGTAAACATAAACAATCTCCATTACTAATCTTCCAAGATTTTCTTTTTCATTTCATCATATTTAAAAGATCTAGTTCAAAGATGATAGTCTCTTTCCTTTTCCAGTTGCTCATGTTATCGTCCAGCTTCCTGCCCACGCTCCAGTTTTAGGAGCCATCGATGAGGATTTTTAAAAAGTCTCCACAGACTGTACGGTTGATGTACCATGTCCCAAAGCTCTGGCAGAGCTCTGTAGAGGTTATTTAAACCAGAACACAGCTTTCTTCACAGCAGGGTATTGGAAGCGTTTAGTGACTTTTAGCCCTTTTAGCATGAGGCTTTCCTTGCTGTATAAACTTGGTTTGTGCATGCTTTAAGTCAGCTGCTTTGCTCTGTGCCCTTGTATGGTTGTGGGGTCTGGTTGTGAGAATGACTTCATATTCAGATCAGGAGAATTGCTTCTATAAGTTAGCTTTTGGGACTTGGTGATGTCATTCGAGAAGCTTTTGCTCTATGAAGACCTGGATTAGCAAGCATCAGTGGCACTTTCTGTCCTTCAGGTGTTGCAGAGTGACTTATAATTACAAAGAGCAAATATTGCATAAACACTTTTGTACTGTCTGGCATCTCTGTAGTCTCTATCTGAAGCACACCAGCACAACACCTCCCTTCTTTCTTATAAAGTGTCTATAATCATACCAGAGTGAGCCTATTCAGCATTTGTCTTCACCAGAAGTGTCAGTCTGTGCTATCTGATGCAAAACTGCACAGTATGATCTCCTTGCATTGTTGTTTAGTTGACTTAAATGCTACATCACTTCATTGCAGACCATATTCCAGAGCATTTGAGAGACCCATTCTACACAGACCAGTATGACCAGGAGCACATCAAGCCACCTGTCATCCACCTGCTTCTATCCTGTGAGCTTTACTGCCGCGTGTGCGCCCTCATCCTCAAGACGGAGCAAGCCGTGTCTCTTCAGTCCCACCTGTCGGTCATCCAGGCTCTGTCCAGGAAGGGCATTTATGTCATGGAGAGTGACGACACACCCGTCACAGAGGAGGATCTGGCCTGCATTCCAATCAAAATGGTGAGTGAATTTGTTGAAAGTTGCACGTCACTTTTAGTCTTCTCTCCTGTTGGATATGTTATATGAACACATTCAAATCAGAAGAAGCAGCAAATGATTAGATTTTTATCCACTGGAGCCATCAGCTCTTGAGATATTTAGAAGCTGGTTCAACTGGGATGGAATCTCGGCATTTGTTTATTGTAGTGTCTTTAGTTTTTGCACTTTGTAGAATGCAGTTGACTGTCTGATTTGTTAAATCAGACTACAGAACTGAGCTGCATGCTTATCGTTTCAATTCAAATTAGGAGGTGAAGTTTGACTGTCATTTGTGAGCGGGGATTGCATTCTGCTGCGTTGTAGCTGTTCATTCTGACATTCATAGTCCGATGTGGCACCGCTTACCAAATTAAACCAAATGTGAGAACCAGTTACATGTTCTACCTCCTGGCGAGAAGTAGAACTGGTTCTCATTCTGGACTAAAGTATTTACTGTAAAGACCGTTTCCTCATCTCTTTTAGTGTCTCCTCTTATGTAGTGAAATGGTATCATTAATAGATCTAAGCTATTACTAAGAGTTTGTTGTTGCAGTTTCACGTTTGGAGCATGTAGAGACAGGCGACCCACATAGAAACACAACAGGATGCATAAAGTGAGTTTTGCATAATATGGCACCTTGTAAAATATATCAGTTCATTCAAATGCTTTATGTGATTTGAAATAGCCACACATTATTATACGTACATTATTCCTGCAGGCTTACTGAAACTCCACAAACTAAACATTGTGCAGCGGTAGGGCTGCACAATATATCGAACAGTTATCGTCATCGGGATAACAGGACGTGCGATAGGCCCATCCCAAAGCACGTCAAAAACGGCGATAAATGTTTGGTTCAAACATTTCCATCCGTGTCATACATCAGCTTTTTGTAAACCAGCTCTGTTTTTTACGCAGAAGTATTATTTGACCAATCAAACGTAGCCCTTCTGATATGCGGCCAATCAGATGGGTCCGTTCACGTAATACGCCCGCCCCCTACGTAGACCCTTAGGATGGAACGCAACACCCGAACTGAGTTAGCGGCGCCGTTCCCTTGTTCATCATGCTGGCTCAGATTAACGAACGCACTTTGTGCTGAGGTTTCTGGATTCAGCGCTGCTTTCAAACGTGAACGTGAGTCCGCTCGGTGTCGTTAAGCAGCTGATGATAACCGGGCTGACTCTGACATGTGCCAGTGAACCAACCCACCTTTATGTCGCTAGTGTTAGCCCAGGCTCCGGTTAGCTTCCAGCTAAAAGGCTACAGCTCTCTCCTCCCAGTCCCACCCTGCTAAAGAGGGCCTGGAAAAGTTCCCCCACACATCAAAGTGATTTTTCATTTATGAGCTTTTATAACCTTGTTAATCAGGATAGTTGATTTGCTGCTGCACATAAACTGTCAGTCTGAAGCTCTGCTAGCCGGTTAGCTTAGAGGAGCTAGTTCAATTTGTTAGCTTGTTATCAGAATCATAGTTGCAGTTTCATCATCTGAGCTGCTTTTTAAGATCCAGGTAAACTTGTTCAATTTGGGCTTAAAAACAAACGTTTTCACATATTTTCCATGTAGTTTTTTGCCATTTCCTCTTCTGAAAGGTAGACAATTGTTTTTCTCTTTCCCTCAGAAAATCTTAATATTCTCCTAGTTTGGCCCAGCACAGTTCACTTCCCAATTACAGCAACAGCCTTATATCATAACCACATAAGTGGAGAAAATGCTCAGTAGCAATGAGAGAATTTGCTGTTGCATTTAAGTGATGTTAACTATTATTTAACATTTAAACTATTTCTAAAAACCCTGGTAGGGGATGTTTTTCTGTATTTGGAGCATCAGAAAAAGTTTTATGGTGGAGGTGATGTTTTAAAGTCACTGAGAAACTGCATGCATGCAGTTTGTTTTGCTGCTAATACAGTAGCAGGTGCAGCTGCTAATACAGTAGCAGGTGCAGCTGCTACTGTATTAGCAGCTGCTACTGTATTAGCAGGTGCAGCTGCTCCTGTATTAGCAGGTGCAGCTGCTCCTGTATTAGCAGGTGCAGCTGCTAATACAGTAGCAGCTGCTAATACAGTAGCAGGTGCAGCTGCTACTGTATTAGCAGCTGCTACTGTATTAGCAGGTGCAGGTGCTAATACAGTAGCAGCTGCACCTGCTAATACAGGAGCAGCTGCACCTGCTAATACAGTAGCAGGTGCACCTGCTACTGTATTAGCAGGTGCAGCTGCTCCTGTATTAGCAGCTGCTACTGTATTAGCAGGTGCAGCTGCTCCTGTATTAGCAGGTGCAGCTGCTACTGTATTAGCACCTGCACCTGCTACTGTATTAGCAGCTGCACCTGCTTATACAGTAGCAGGTGCAGGTGCTAATACAGTAGCAGCTGCACCTGCTACTGTATTAGCAGCTGCAGCTGCTACTGTATTAGCACCTGCTACTGTATTAGCACCTGCTACTGTATTAGCACCTGCTACTGTATTAGCAGCTGCACCTGCTACTGTATTAGCAGCAGCACCTGCTACTGTATTAGCAGCTGCACCTGCTAATACAGTAGCAGGTGCTAATACAGTAGCAGGTGCAGCTGCTGCTAATACAGTAGCAGGTGCAGCTGCTGCTAATACAGTAGCAGGTGCAGCTGCTGCTAATACAGTAGCAGGTGCTAATACAGTAGCAGCTGCACCTGCTACTGTATTAGCAGGTGCAGCTGCTACTGTATTAGCAGCTGCACCTGCTAATACAGTAGCAGGTGCTAATACAGTAGCAGGTGCAGCTGCTGCTAATAAAGTAGCGGGTGCAGCTGCTGCTAATACAGTAGCGGGTGCAGCTGCTGCTAATACAGTAGCGGGTGCAGCTGCTGCTAATACAGTAGCGGGTGCAGCTGCTGCTAATACAGTAGCGGGTGCAGCTGCTGCTAATACAGTAGCGGGTGCAGCTGCTGCTAATACAGTAGCGGGTGCAGCTGCTGCTAATACAGTAGCGGGTGCAGCTGCTAATACAGTAGCGGGTGCAGCTGCTAATGCAGTAGCGGGTGCAGCCGCTAATACAGTAGCGGGTGCAGCCGCTAATGCAGTAGCGGGTGCACCCGCTACTGCATTAGCGGGTGCAGCTGCTGCTAATACAGTAGCGGGTGCAGCTGCTGCTAATACAGTAGCGGGTGCAGCTGCTGCTAATACAGTAGCGGGTGCAGCTGCTGCTAATACAGTAGCGGGTGCAGCTGCTGCTAATACAGTAGCGGGTGCAGCTGCTGCTAATACAGTAGCGGGTGCAGCTGCTGCTAATACAGTAGCGGGTGCAGCTGCTGCTAATACAGTAGCGGGTGCAGCTGCTAATGCAGTAGCGGGTGCAGCCGCTAATACAGTAGCGGGTGCAGCCGCTAATACAGTAGCGGGTGCAGCCGCTAATACAGTAGCGGGTGCAGCCGCTAATACAGTAGCGGGTGCAGCCGCTAATACAGTAGCGGGTGCAGCCGCTAATACAGTAGCGGGTGCAGCCGCTAATACAGTAGCGGGTGCAGCCGCTAATACAGTAGCAGGTGTAGCTGCACATTTTTACAATAAAAATGTTATGTTGTAATGGAATTCATGCATTAGTTTTTGTTTGCTTTGAGCCCAGAGCAGACGTCACACGCCAGACGACGTCAACACTGCGTACTTTAGTATTTGTTCATTTATCGTGAGTAATATCGATATCTCAATATTAAGCACTGTTATCGAATATCGCAGGTTTTCCTAATATCGTGCAGCCCTATGCGGTGGTATTTAACCCAAAAGCGCAGACGCTGTTGCCACATCACACTGAGATGAGGGAAGGCCTGGCCTACATGCAGCAATGAGATCCAAACTCCCACCTACAGCACATCACACAGGACAGCTCACTCGCTCCCAGTCAATATTTCTTTCCCCTTGTTACTATGGTAACCTACAACATTGTTGAACAGGCCTTTTCACTGCATGGCTGACCGGTAGATGATGATGATGATGATGATGAAGTGCTGCTGCTTTTCCTGCTAGTGGTCTGACTAAATAATCCATGCCGTTGTGCGAGTGAGCATCCAGACACAAAGCCCACGAGGGGATGAAATATTAGGAGCTTATCTCTGATAGACTGTTGGAAGCCTCCTCCTGCTTTACTGACTTGACACGATGTTTCCATGGCAACCCACATATTCCTACTATTCGAGCATCTCTGTATGAATGAGTGTGATCCTTTGCTTGCAGACAGTCTTTCTTCACCTTGTCTGACATGTTTTGGGGCAAGAGCTTGTAAAACCCTGAAGCTTCTCTCCTGGGCCGTCTGGAATTGTTCTGTGTGCACACAGTCTGGCCGTGCACAGAGTCTGGCCGTGCACACACAGCGCTGGGGGTATCCTGCTCGTTGGGCTGCTGTGTTGGAGAAAACAAAGTGATGGAACAATAGATCATGTTTTACTCATACTCACTATATATTTATTTTATGCTTCTTATTAATATTAATATTCAGAATATGCATGTTGAGATTTTATGGGCTTTTCATAATCATTAAAAACCTCCAACTGTTTATTTTCTCTGTGCAATGCAAAATAATCACATCGGTTTTGTTCCAAGGTAACAAAAATACAAGCAGTTAGAAAAATGTTTATTTTTGTTTATTGTTTCTGAGCTTTGCTGCACAGTAATCTTACACGACACCTAGCTAAAGTCTCTAATGTCGCACTCTGGAGCTTTATTTCTCATGAATTAAGAATAGTGAGTCATGTAAGTTATTTTGTGTCTGGTAGTTAAACACGGATCACAGATTCATGTAAACCATGAGGTTCGTACCAAACATTACTCATTACTCTGCATTAATGCTCTAATTAAATAGTGTTATAGCCCAGTGAGAATGAATGTGTTATAGTTCATGTGCATGAACACCCTTGGAAAACAAAACGCTTTGCATAATAGAAATCTTTGCTAGGGCTATGTTCAGCTTTCTGTATCGATCTCTATTCTGTTTATTTCATTTTTCCATCTCAAAGTTTGATGGGAGATTTTAGGGCCGAACGATTTATTTTTTTTCTTCAATATTGCAACTGCGATTTAATTCACGATTATTTTCTCAAGGGGCTTTTCTCATTTTTCAACTAACGGAAGCAAAAAATAAATAAAAATCTATGTGACTTGTACTGAATATAAACAAGTTTATGTATCTACATATTTATCTACATGTCATAACAAGTTTATTTGTCTACATAAACACAAGTAAAAACAAAATTTTGTACCTATTTGATTAATACCACTTTTTTACTTTTCATTAGACTCCAAATGTAATAATTTGGCACGTTCCTAATTTGTAATTCATAAGAATGTAATCTGCGATATTGGCATTAGCATCCCTATGGGTTTTTCAATGTATATTAGCGTTGTGCTAACCACTCACTGCCAGTCGAATTGCAGCCTTTGCCATTAGAAAATCTCCTTTTGTCACATCACAATTTAATTGCACATGCAGGAAATCGTTCAGCCCTAGTATATTTTTGTGTTTATGTCCCCGTGTGTTGTGTGGTGGGAATGCCCTGAATAGCTCTCCTTTACTGTGCTAACAAACCTAATCTCTGTATTTCCATCACCTGGATTAGGCTGGCAGCCTGATTCAAACAATGGTGTGCATTTATTTTTCATTATTGTTTGGGTTCCTATGGAACAAGCCATTGTATTTAGAGTTAAAGGTGGATATCAGAGTATAGTTGTGCCAGCTGAAGTCGAAGGTTTACAGCATTTAGCTGGTGTTAAATCTCACCTAGTCCTACGTTTGTGGAGCTCAGGTGTTTTGGTTTTCCCATCATTCTTTTAAGAGCAGAAATGTCTTTTGAGCTTTTTGTTATTATAACGCTGTGGAGAGACACTGTGTGAGCCGACTGAGACATTTCAGCCTTGGTGGAGTTTCTGGAGTCTTTTAAAGGTGTGGTTCACAATAGGGCTGGGCGCTATGGCCTCAAATCTATATTGTGATATAATCTGAAGCATGTGCGGTAACGATATATATTGCGACATCGTTTTTCCTCTGTTTATAAATGTCAAAATGACATGCTTTTACATATCCTCGTGGCAAATATCTGCAACATGAGGCCTATAGGCCTCCTCCTCCGCCCACGCCATGCTTGCAGTCACTGCCATTCTGTTGTCCCGATGTCAGCAGGGTGCACATCTTAGTGACGTCATTAGTTATCGCGATATCGCCAGAAACTCTATCGTTACCCAATCTTATATTGTTTCTACCTTATATGGTTCAGATTGCCCACCCCTAGTTCACAGCATGGCAGAACTAGTACAGCCGCGCTGCTGTTATCCAGTCGAAGGCCAGATGTCCAAATACCAGAAAATAAGACTCAAAATCCTGTCATCCGAGCGTGTTTCCCCTGTAGCTGCTTTACTTTCTGAAACAAGCACACCTGATCACCCCTCCCCCCGACCTACAAGGCATTAATTCTTTTAGAGACCACTGCAAATGTATTTATTAAAGGAGTGATTGTCATTATTAAAATGAAATAGAAATATTCTGTTTCTCTCTCACCCAGAGCGCCCACATATCCATGATCGATGCCCTCATGATGGCGTACACAGTGGAGATGATCAGCATTGAGAAAGTGGTGGCTTCTGTAAAGCGCTTCTCTACCTTCAGTGCCTCTAAGGAGCTGCCCTTTGACCTTGAGGATGCTATGGTGTTCTGGATCAACAAGGTCTTGACACATCAACATTAACATGACTTACTACAACATGTCTTGTTACGGTGCATTGAGCTTCTTACTCTGTAAGGCTCGGCTGACTGGGATTGTGGGCGACCATTGCAAGCAGCACGTAACATACATGTCATCAGTCTGTTAGGATGGACCTTTCAGCACGTTTTGAGTTGAGTTTAAACCGTTTGCTTACATGGATATTAACATGATGTCATGGTTTTTTTCTACAGGTGAACATGAAAATGAGAGAGGTTACAGAAAGGGAGCACAAAGTCAAGCACCACCCTCTGGAGTCCCCGAGCCATCCGAAGGTAACGCGACTTCCTGTTAGCGTCTTTGTTAAAACCTAATTCTTTTGATTGTGTCTGTGACCAGCTGGCGCCTCTTGTTGGTTTCATCAACAATGTAATTTATAGTTTGGAGCCATCACATTGTCTCTTTCTTCTTGTTTCTGGGAGCAGTTCCAGTCCTTTTGCCTGTGACCTCTGACCTGTTAATCTCTTTGCTCCTGTTCCCTATATGTCCCTTCCTCCCTCTTATCCCTGCAAACTGGATAGTCTCCCTCCAAATGGTATTGGAAACTAGTCCCTGTAAGTTGGATGCCAGCCCCAGTAACCATTCCTCCCTCCCTCGATCCCTCCTGCACGTATAGTCTTGTGTTGATGTACGCTCTCTCCACTATGGCTCATTCAAGCTCATTCTGTGCTGCAACATGATGCCAACGTGTCACCAGACGGGGAAGAAATTCACTTTATTTTTCCTTTTTTCTACTTCCTTTATGACAAACGGATCACATAGATGTAACGTTATTGAAACTCTAGATTTTCTGCGCTACACATCGTGTGCTACCTCATTTCAAGCTCAGCTCGGCCATGTGGACTCTCGGTGCGTAAATGCATGTGGATATTTGCTTTGTCCAGTGAGAATAAAGAGCCGATCCATGTCCTCACCTCTCCTTTGCTTTGCAGACCCATCCTCTCACTGATCTGCTTTGTCATTCTTCCTGCAGCCTGTATCCTACACACACACACACACACACACACACTGTAAATGGTAAATGCTCGTGGCCTCTGCTGACTGTATCTCTGCTCTGTGTGTATCACGCTGATGTCATGCCCGAGCTGGCCCACTGCATGCTGGAGCCACAGGAGATCTCTGAAGTGGTACTACTGTATTTTATCTTGGCCAGGGCAAAGGTCACCAGTGTAGTCTCCAGTTTAGTTGTTAGCCTCTCCTGTGACATTGCTTGAGAAAGATGTGTTCATAGTAGGGATGTAACGATGCTCCGAGAATCGAAATCGAATTGAAAGGAGCTTGAAAAAGCACCAGCATCATTTAAGTTGCATGTCTGAACCCTAGAAACTTCTGACAAACACAGTAAAGACCAGGCAGGGCTGATGCTCTGTATTTAGAGTACCACAGCTTATTGGTCATAATAATATATACCTTGAGCTCTTAAAGCACTCAATTTGCCGTACCCTACAGGAGCATGATGGCTCCCCGTAAAATACAATAATGATCCAACATTTTAGACGGCGCGTCCTCCGGTTGTGGAAAAGAAGAGAGGGGTGGTGCGGAAACGGGCCTTGGACAATTATAAACGTGGCGAGACCTGTAAATATTGCTGAGGACAAATCTGTAAAAGAGGACGAAGGTAAAATAAACGGCGCATCAGAAAGGTGAGGAGATGACAGGTGAAATCAGGAGGACACTCGGAGAGAGCCTGTCTACATCGGGAAGTAATCAGACTTCTCTGTAACTCCTGCTTTTATAGCAAGTTGCACATTGAGCAGAACTTTAGCACCAAGTGTTTTACAGAATAGAGACGAGCTTTTTGTTTTTTCTGTTCTTTTTCTTTCTGCTGATCTAAAAAACGACTCGATCCATGACTGAAAACCGGGATTCGATCAGTCTCGCCACTAGAGGCCAGCATGGCTACAGCAGGCAAACACTTATCGGTTTGAAGTCAGCAGCATTTTGGCTTCTCCATGTTTACAAATGAAAAGGTTGAACGAAATACCGACGAGACAAAAATAAGAATTGTGAACTAAAAATCGGGAATCGAATCGCAGCCTGAGTCAATCGTTACATCCCTAGTTCATAGTTTTGTGGAATAGATTTTTACAAGACGTTGAAGTTTTAACAATAGTACCAATAGCCGTGTTTCTACTGTAGGAGTTCTGGGAATTTTCTGGAAGAAGGGAAGGTGACAGAGAGAATGCGATGGCTTGGTCCTCCCAGCTGTTGTCTCCATAAGAGCCGGCCCATTCAGATCTTTGCTAAGACGTCAGCATATCGTGACGTTTCGGTAGTGATGTCGCTGATCAGCGCCAGAATGCATCCACAAACATTATTGACATTAAAAGTTTCTACTTTGTCAACATACACCTTAACGTAATTAATTTGGGGTACAAGCAGAGAGGCAGTGTGATGTAAAGTTAGCATTCAACAACCAGAAAAAGCGCGGTGTTTAGGTACATTGCTGTCCCACCCAGCACCTCTGTCAGGCTTTTCTGAGTAAATACAGTTCAGATTCTTCATTGGTTCCTGAAGGGCCCAGAAAGTACTCCTTTCAGGCCGGCTCGGTGGAGTCGAGACCGGCACATACCCGAAACTGGAAACGGGCCTAGTAGGTTTTTGTTTTCATTGTGCCTGAACCTGTTCTGGGTGGGTTTTGATGTTCCTAACCTTTTATTTAAAAGGCCATGAAGCAGTTCACGGTTTTAAAAACAAAATTAAAGTTAGTTTTTACTCCTTTGTAGATTTATTACAATCCAGTTCCACAGCGGTGGCGTGTGACTGAACTCTGACATGGTCTTAAACTGGACACTGACATTTATATTTTCTGTCACGCTGAGTATTTCTTAGCTGTTTTTATTGAAATATTCATCTCATTCTGGGTGGAGTGGCCCTTTTTTCTTCACATCATTTACCGTACATGCTATTTCATGAGAAACGGTGCTAGACGGTTTTAGTGGATTTTCGTTTTTAGAAGCAAACAGATTTTTTTGCCCATATTTTAGTGTGATTAGTCATTTTGAGCGCGTTCCCAGAAACAAATCTGAATATATTTGGGTCTTTTTTCCAACTTCCTTTTAAATAATTCCAAGTGTCTAATCGGAGTATATTTTTGTTTCCTACATTTTGAGTATCTGCGTTGTGAATGTTCAAAGCTTAACACCAAAACTAAAAGCATCACTTTTGAGAATGCACCCAATTCACAGTGGGTCAGTGATTATCCCTGTATCCATCCCAGTTAACCAGCTCGTGCTCTGGTTAAACTGGGTTTCATTGCTGGCCATCTGTCCATTAAAGACATGTTGTTGATCACCACTCTAACACCTTCACCCCCATCTACTCACAGCATACCTGCCAGGTTCTCCCTAGCGTGTGCAGAATGAGCTCTAGCATGTTCAGACCTTTTCATTCATGGTTGATTATTAAACTAGCAGCTGGCCTCTGAAAAGGGTTTGTACTTAGATTAATAAAATAAATATCATTCTTGTGATGTGAACCTCCGGGGAGAGCCTTGAGCTGATACTCTCGAGCATTAACAGAACGATTAACATCCGTGCTCAACATCTGCTTTGATCAACTCGTATAGACCTCCATGTTCTCTTGGAGATCTATGTTTCTACCAGGCATTTCTTTAAAGAGGTTTTTGATGTCAGCAGCAGCTTGGGGCGTCTGTGTTCTTGTCTAAACAAACCAGTGATCATCTCCCCCTGCTGGTCAGGTGCGGTATCGTCGGGAGCATGCATCAGGTCGCCTGCTGCCTTTCTTCCCGCTGCTAGAAGATCTCATGAGGGATGTGTGTGATGGAGCGGCGCTGCTGATTGTGGTCCATTACTACTGTCCAGACATCATGAAGCTGGAGGGTAGGATGTCAAACACATTCATCGTCTCGCAGATGCACACCTCAGGTGTCGCTATAGTAGACCTTTCGACCTTCCATAAAGAAGCTTTCAGGTGTTTTCATGGAATAATTGCATTGAATTTCCACAAAAGAACTGCACTAATGGTACCGGTAATAGTTTTTGGTCTGTTTAGGTTTTTTACATTTGCATTAATTTCTACAAATACCACCATCCCAGAAAATAATCTCTTAGCAAAAGTTCCTTTTTTAGTAACGTTAAAACTTATTAATAGAAAAAATGGTGATTTTTAAAATAATGATTAAATATCTTGCGGTAGATGTTTTCGGAAATGGGAAAAAGAGTTTTGAGTTAATCTCAGAAAAGAGTCAGATTTTTTTTCTGAATACTCGCGTTGTTCTCAGGATTCTGAGGACAAATCTAACTTTCTCTTTAGTGGCATTAGTTCTCTTCCACGGACATCTATTAGTAATTACTAATTGTGTCTTTTCAAGAGCTTCTTCTGACAGTAGCAGCTTAAACAAGCTTGATTTAGGTGGAAAGACATGACTCGTATCAGCGAACCACAAAGGTTTGTGGTTCTAACCCCACCAGTCCCTGGCACACATCGAATCTAGCATCCATGTGTGATTCTATTTTGGTTTCGAGCTGTGGTCCTCGCAGCGTGACATTTATAGCAGGCGGGTCATTGAGCTGTATCCTGATCTGACCTGATCTCTGCCTGTCTGATCAGATATTTGCCTGAAGGAAGTTCCTTCCATCGCTGATAGCCTGTACAACATCCAGCTGCTCCGAGAGTTCGCCGGTGAATATCTGAACAAAAGTTGCTATCTGACAACAGAGGACATGCTCTATTCGCCACTTGTTCTCAAGGTACACAATAAGGCAAAAGTTTTTATTTTAACATGAAAAATGTAACCAATACTTTGTTTTTCACCATTTTCTGTGCAGCTCAATCTGATGGTCTTCATTGCTGAATTATTCTGGTGGTTTGAAACCGTCAAACCAACGTTTGTTCAACCCAGAGATTTTCAGGAGTTTAAAGATGGTGAGCACATGAATAAAAAATGGTTATTACTTGGTAATAAACACCTGAATGAAAGTAGGGTTCAGCTGGTCTAAAGGTAAACTGAATTCTCTGTTTGTGTTCAGAAAATAGCAGCTGACCCAGTTGCTGTGCTTCACTTATGCTCTTTTCTCTTACTCAGCTCGAGCTGTAGCTCATCCCAAGACCTCCCGTCCATCAGTGCCCATCTCCAATGCCACCAAGCGCAGCTTTTTGGTTAGTCCTGGTGTCACCGACAACCAGAGCAGCCCTGAAGTCTGTAACAGGTACTTCCTGCACCCTGAAGACTCTGACCCCCTGTAAGTCTTTTTTTCTAGTCTTTCTTTACATTTAACCTGTTCTAACCCTTATAGGGTGGGTGAGTGCAGCCCTGGTAGGGTGGGTGAGTGCAGCCCCGGTAGGGTGGGTGAGTGCAGCCCCGGTAGGGTGGGTGAATGCAGCCCCGGTAGGGTGGGTGAGTGCAGCCCCGGTAGGGTGGGTGAATGCAGCCCCGGTAGGGTGGGTGAGTGCAGCCCCGGTAGGGTGGGTGAGTGCAGCCCCGGTAGGGTGGGTGAGTGCAGCCCCGGTAGGGTGGGTGAGTGCAGCCCCGGTAGGGTGGGTGAGTGCAGCCCCGGTAGGGTGGGTGAGTGCAGCCCCGGTAGGGTGGGTGAGTGCAGCCCCGGTAGGGTGGGTGAGTGCAGCCCCGGTAGGGTGGGTGAGTGCAGCCCCGGTAGGGTGGGTGAGTGCAGCCCCGGTAGGGTGGGTGAATGCAGCCCCGGTAGGGTGGGTGAATGCAGCCCCGGTAGGGTGGGTGAGTGCAGCCCCGGTAGGGTGGGTGAGTGCAGCCCCGGTAGGGTGGGTGAGTGCAGCCCCGGTAGGGTGGGTGAATGCAGCCCCGGTAGGGTGGGTGAGTGCAGCCCCGGTAGGGTGGGTGAATGCAGCCCCGGTAGGGTGGGTGAGTGCAGCCCCGGTAGGGTGGGTGAGTGCAGCCCCGGTAGGGTGGGTGAGTGCAGCCCCGGTAGGGTGGGTGAGTGCAGCCCCGGTAGGGTGGGTGAGTGCAGCCCCGGTAGGGTGGGTGAGTGCAGCCCCGGTAGGGTGGGTGAGTGCAGCCCCGGTAGGGTGGGTGAGTGCAGCCCCGGTAGGGTGGGTGAGTGCAGCCCCGGTAGGGTGGGTGAGTGCAGCCCCGGTAGGGTGCAGCCCTGGTAGGGTGGGTGAGTGCAGCCCTGGTAGGGTGCAGCCCTGGTAGGGTGGGTGAGTGCAGCCCTGGTAGGGTGGGTGAGTGCAGCCCCGGTAGGGTGCAGCCCTGGTAGGGTGGGTGAGTGCAGCCCTAGTAGGGTGCAGCCCTGGTAGGGTGGGTAAATGTAAAGTGGTGCCTGGTGTTCCTCATTAGCCGTTGACTTGTTCCCGTGTGTGTTGTACTGCCTTTAAGCAGCGAGTCTCTGTGCTTTTGGTCACTGCACGTGTTTGTGTTGAAATGTCATGGGATTCATCACATTGGCTGCATATACTTGTCTGCCTTGTCTTTCATAAGTTGATGAGCCCCGATAAGTCTAGTTGTCTCGCCATTGCTCTTCACTAACGGTGTAAAAGTGAATTCTGACGTTTTTCCTGTTTTCTCTCAGTAAGGGGGGTCCACCCTTCAATGCCTCTCATCCACTGCTCCCCCTGAGGCAGAGGCAACAAAAATCACACGGAGAAGACAGTGCAGGTAAAGATAACTCTCCACGTCTTTTAAAGTTTCAGATTCAGTTTACTGTTCAAGTCATACTTAAATTTTTTTGGTTAGGTTTGAGAAATCGTTCAAACTCCCTGACTCAGATGGATGGACAACAGCTCAGGGGTTCTGCTGCAGCGTGGCCCGACAAAAGGCAAAGGTGAACCAAAACCAGTTCAGCCTGTTTTTCTATGACATTCAGTAAAATGCAAATATATGTATATGTGCATATATATATATATATATATATATATATATATATATATATATATAAGCTTAGACACACCACCTCAGGTTAGCTTGTCCCAACCCACTTTAGTGTCTGCAATAAATAAATGTTTGTGTCCGTAACGCTAACTGCAGAATGTACTGGGAACCTCCAGACTGAATAAATACCTGACACAGCCATCGCTTGCTTTGGGAGTTCTCCATAGCGTGTACAGGGTTATAGCTCCAGGGAGTCATAGAGCTGTGGGGGTAAACCAGCCAATCAGCATGCAGGTCCTGGCTGAGTGGATGGGGTTGAGCAGTCCTTCCATGGTAGGGCTTTATTATGGGGTTTAGCCATTTTGAGCTCCATTAAAGTTAAATTTTCTTTAGAGGCTAAAAAACAGGTTCCAGTTGTAAAAATTGTTCCAGAACATTTTTTAACTGTGAAATTAAAGATTTTCAATAAAAAATATTCAGCGACTGCGTTTCACACCGAAGTGTTGTCTTTCTACAGACCCATGTCCACGCTGAGCCCCTTCATGCTGCGCTCAGCCACAGAAAGCGATGCTGACAGGTCCTCTGGGGATAGCGTGAGCCTGGCTCGATCCATTAGTAAGGACAGCCTGGCATCCAACGTCATCAACGTCACTCCAAAGCACCAGATTCCTGTCCAGCAGTCATCGTTCGCCGCCATGCGGAGAGTCAACGGTCACAACCAAGTGGGCCGCGATACCCATGAGGATGAGGACGAAACTCTGGTGGCAGTGGCCAGAAGCGACGGTCCCATCAGTCCCACACAGGATGATGCCACTGCTGGACCAAAACCTCCCCCAGAACCCAAACCTGCTCCAGAGGGTTTCTACCTGGAACCACTCATGCCCGCTGTTCTCAGAGCGGCTAAGGAGAAGTCTGTTTGTCTGAACAAGGAGGAGGAAAGCGGGGAGGTGTCCCGGTCTGCAGGTAGAGGCTCTTTGCGCCGAGGAGACGGATCTTCAGCAGCCGTTCGTAGGAAAGCTCCCTCCAGTCTGAACCAAACATTTCCTCCTCCAGGTGAAGAAGAGCACTTGTCAGAGGAGCAGCTGGATGCTTTCAGACCAGATGTTACCAGCAGTGTGGCCTACTCCTCCAGAGAGCCAGCTGAAGGTTTCCATCTTCATTCAGACTCTGAGGACCTGAAGTGCGGCCAAGGCCTGGACGCTGAGCTGGAGAACCTCGATGAGGAGGAAGAGGATTTGGATGAAGCGATCACCACGAAGGATTTAAACTTTCCAAGAAAAGCATACAGCGATGTGGATGAAGAAGAATCGGCAAAGCTCAGAGAGGACATGAATGTCAAAGAGCACGAGGACAAGGACCTGAACGGGGGCAGCGGCCGGTCCAGTCCTTGTCTCAGCACACACTCCCAAGCCAGCAGCATGGCCAGCGGCAGTGTGCGCATGACCTCTTTTGCTGAGCGTAAAGCCCAGCAGCAGCGCTTCGGCAGCAACCACGACCTACGCTCCAGTGCCTCCAGCTCCCAAAGGACCACTCCCGATGGGTCGGAGAGCAGCGGGCCTCTGTCCTCGTCCTGGAGGCTGAAGAGGGATCAGAGCCCCTCTTCTCCCTTGGGAGGGTGCTCTCGTCCAGGGGAGGGCGGTGCAAATGTGCTGGCCTCTGAAATCATCCAGCTCCGCATGCAGCTGGAGGACAAGCGACGTGCCATCGAGCACCAGAAAAAGAAGATGGAGGTGCTGTCAGCGAGGCAGAGGCAGCAGTTGGGGAAAGCAGCTTTTCTGCACATTGTAAAGAAAGGGAGGAGCGACACTCTCCCCACCTCGCTCAAGTCTGACATCCCTAAAGACGAGCTCAATGGCGAGAGACGACCTCCGAGTAAAGACGACACGTGTGTGGATTCGTTGAGGGGGGAGAAAAAGGTGGAGGGGAGCGCCCCCCCTGGTGCCTTAGAAGCAGACAAGAAGGGAAACGGTGAAAGCTTTTATCTGGATGAAGAGCTGGACCTGAATGAATGCAGCCGCTCCATCGAGCTTCTGAACGAAGCCATCGGCAGCATCCAGCAACAGATGATGCAGCTCTCTCTGCAGCAGGAGGTGCTGATGAGGCAGAATGTACAGTCCCCACCTGGTGCAGCCCCACCGGCTAGTCGCACAGCAGACCGAAACGGCGACCCAAAGACGGGCTTCCACTTTGTGGAGCACCTCTCTGGCTCTGGCAGCACTCCACCCAGGAAACCACCCAAACTGAGCTCAGGCCGGAGCTCCAGATCCAAGCCGTCTGAGCTAAAGATGGCTAAAGAGCAAGGCAGGCAGGCCTCCAGAACCCTCACCCCAACCCAGAGCGGGTCAGAGACGTTGCCAACCCCAAAACAGCTAGCTGGGGGCAGGTCCCCCAGAGTGGAGCAGCCAGAGCGTCCCAGAAACCCCACAAACGTAGACAGGCCGGGGTCGGGTCACATCCACAGCGCCACCTTCCGCCTTCACGACGACGCAAACGTGCGCCTGCCGACCCGAGTGGACCTGACAACTGTGGCTGCTGCAGAAGTGTCCTTCGAGTGCCTGTCCAGCACCCCGAGAGAGTCTGAACTCAATTCTTCAGACAGTTCAGGGAAGGACAACACGCCGTCCGAGGAGGCGCAGCGCGCCAAAACCCACCTGATAGAGGTGGATCTGTCCGAGCTAAAGGCTCCCGAGGAAGAGGAGGGTGGTGAGCACCAGTCAGCAGAAGGAGGTGATGATGGAGACCAGAAGTCAGTCATGGGCTTCTTCTTTAAGGTACAGGCACGGCAGTGCTTTCCTCCTTTAGGACTTGTAATCACCTCTAATGGTTCAGTAACAATTCATCTTCTCTGTCTGGTCTAACCCTAGTTAAGCAGAGTCTCTGCTCTCCAGTGTTCGGTAACTTTAATATTCATTTTCCTTTTAGGATGAGCAAAAAGCAGAAGATGAGCTTGCCAAGAAGAGGGCGGCTTTTCTACTGAAGCAGCAAAAGAAAGCCGAGGAGGCTCGACTCCGCAAACAACACCTGGAGGCCGAATGTGAACTCAAACGTGATGAAGCCAGGTGAACTTCTCACGACACGAACACGAGTCAGGCTGCGTTATTAGACGTTCATTAGATCATCAGTAGATGCTAAAACCTTTTCTGTGTGGTTTCAACACCAGACGGAAGGCAGAGGAGGACCGTGTGCGAAAGGAGGAGGAGAAGACACGGAGGGAGCTGATCAAACAGGAATATCTGCGAAGGAAGCAGCAGGAAATCTTTGAGGAGCAAGGCCTGGGAAAGCCCAAGACCCCCAAACCCAAGCAGAAACACAAACACAAGGCTGTCCTCCGAGAGGAGTCTCCCAGCGATCGTTTCCCCAAGTGCTCTTCCACACGTGAGGCTCACATTTCTCCTGAATCAGCAGATTTTCTGCTTTATTTACCCTCTGAAGGGTTTTTATACGTAGACTGAAGAGGGACAGCACACCATCAGAAAACTTAACTCCACCCAGTCGAGGTTTGAAAAGTGCAGTGGAAGTGGGCGTTGCCAGGAGGCATGGAGCTGCATGGAGATGTGTGGAGACGTTCCATCCCTGGGAAGGCGGGGCAGTGGGCGGAGACTGTAGCGATGAGGTGTAATTGTACCAGCCCCGTCAGGCACGAGTTTAAAACGCAGTAGCAGCAGTGAACCCACAGGGGGCAGCACTGCCGCGTTTCCACCTAGAATCTAGATTTAATCCAGTTTACACAAACATGTCAGAAATGCACAGAAACAGAACGATTGTAAAGACCCAACTAAACCGTTTTAGAGCAAAAGGTTATTTTGGGTTTAGGCGCTCTTTAAAGTTCATGTAAAATAGTTGAACTGAACTCGGGAGAAGCTGCATTGACATGATCTATTTGGTTTTATCTCTTCCACGTAGCGGACAACCTGACCAACGCTCAGTCAGGCTCCAACCTGTCGCTGGCCTCAGGGGCAACCAACGAGGCCGACAGCGTGAACTCTGGAGGGGCTGGCTCTCAGCGGTATGTCATCTGGCATTTTCACTCGCAGGATTTTCCCTCTGATGCTCTTGATGAATGTCACCTTAACGCGATCCTCGTGGTTCCTGATCTTTGTCTTGCATCCAGCTGCGACTCCGTGGAGTCTTTTCCAGGCAGTCGCAACAACAGTCGAACTGCAGAGAGAGACTGGGACAACGGCTCCACTGCGTCTTCCATCACTTCCATGGCTGAGTATACAGGTGTTGCATTAGCTGTCATCTCACACGACACAAGACCAAATATAATAAAACAAGTTACATAGAACCACCACACGTTCAACCAGACAGAAAGAGCATCTCTTATTCCACAAGCTTCAAAAGGGCTGAAGACCAGGAATGCTCGATATCTGCTTTTTTACCGACGCCCAGTTTACCGACGGCCAGTTTACCGACGGCCAGTTTACCGACGCCCAGTTTACCGACGCCCAGTTTACCGACGCCCAGTTTACCGACGCCCAGTTTACCGACGGCCAGTTTACCGACGGCCAGTTTACCGACGGCCAGTTTACCGACGCCCAGTTTACCGACGGCCAGTTTACCGACGCCCAGTTTACCGACGCCCAGTTTATCGGACGCCCAGTTTATCGGACGCCCAGTTTATCGGACGCCCAGTTTACCGACGCCCAGTTTACCGACGGCCAGTTTACCGACGCCCAGTTTATCGGACGCCCAGTTTATCGGACGCCCAGTTTATCGGACGCCCAGTTTATCGGACGCCCAGTTTATCGGACGCCCAGTTTATCGGACGCCCAGTTTACCGACGCCCAGTTTACCCGACGCCCAGTTTACCGACGCCCAGTTTACCGACGCCCAGTTTACCGACGCCCAGTTTACCGACGCCCAGTTTACCGACGGCCAGTTTACCGACGCCCAGTTTACCCGACGCCCAGTTTACCGACGCCCAGTTTACCCGACGCCCAGTTTACCGACGCCCAGTTTACCGACGGCCAGTTTACCGACGGCCAGTTTACCGACGGCCAGTTTACCGACGGCCAGTTTACCGACGGCCAGTTTACCGACGCCCAGTTTACCGACGCCCAGTTTACCGACGCCCAGTTTACCGACGCCCAGTTTATCGGACGCCCAGTTTACCGACGCCCAGTTTATCGACGCCCAGTTTACCGACGCCCAGTTTACCGACGGCCAGTTTACCGACGGCCAGTTTATCGGACGGCCAGTTTACCGACGCCCAGTTTATCGGACGCCCAGTTTATCGGACGCCCAGTTTACCGACGCCCAGTTTATCGGACGCCCAGTTTACCGACGCCCAGTTTATCGACGCCCAGTTTACCGACGCCCAGTTTACCGACGGCCAGTTTACCGACGGCCAGTTTATCGGACGGCCAGTTTACCGACGCCCAGTTTATCGGACGCCCAGTTTACCGACGCCCAGTTTATCGACGCCCAGTTTACCGACGGCCAGTTTACCGACGCCCAGTTTACCGACGGCCAGTTTACCGACGCCCAGTTTATCGACGCCCAGTTTACCGACGGCCAGTTTACCGACGCCCCGTTTACCCGACGCCCAGTTTACCCGACGCCCAGTTTACCCGACGCCCAGTTTACCGACGGCCAGTTTACCGACGCCCAGTTTACCCGACGCCCCGTTTACCCGACGCCCAGTTTACCCGACGCCCAGTTTACCCGACGCCCAGTTTACCGACGGCCAGTTTACCGACGCCCAGTTTACCGACGCCCAGTTTACCGACGGCCAGTTTACCGACGCCCCGTTTACCGACGGCCAGTTTACCGACGTCGTGACTCTGGGTTTCTGAAGCCGGTAAATGCTGTCCCTGTGATAAAAACAGAAACTAAATCCTAGTTTTCCAGACTTTTCTCCTACCGTGTGTAGAAGTCGGGTCATTAAGTGTAAAAACCAGTGCTAATATTTTCCGATGTACGTTTTTCATGCCAGTATTGACTGATGTTGACCCATAAAACGGGACATCCCTACTAAAGATTAAAATGTCTAACTCCTCCACTGCCGGCTGTAACCGGAACAGAAAGCCCCCGGCTGCCGGTGTTTTTGAGCGTTTTTACGGTTTCTGAAGGGCGCTCTGACCATGTAAACACCAAAACTACCAGAGACGGAGGAGACTCGCTTCTCACATCAGGAAGAATCGGCTGTTTCTAGCTTTCCCGTTCTTTCGTCATCCGTTGTTGACGTGTTGTGAAGCTTTTTTGGCTAACGCCTCGTTTTAGGCATAGTAGCGTCCCGAAACGATCTCCTAATTTACGGATGCTTCACATGATGTGTGACACACACACACACACACACACACACACACACACACACACACACACACACATGTAAACCAGCTGTAGAGCCACGACGGTCACTCTCAAGGTAAACTAACTCATTCCCCGGCCCGCCCACTAAAAATGGCGGTGTCTTCTACTGTTGGAGATTATAGCGATAGCGAATGGCCAGCTTATCCATAATGCCCAGAGAGTCCACGTTGTGTTTGTTCCTGTCAGGAAAACACAGTGCCCAGTCTAAAACACGTAGGACAACGGAACACGTGACTGGGACAATTCGTTCCCCCAAGCTACTTCTAAGCTAACACATTAGCATGTGGCAAAATAATAAAACATACTTCAAATACATCTGAACACAATAAATAATCTCCATGTCACCTTTCCACCTCCGAAGGCTTTGGGAATCTGTGGTTATTAAACTTGTCCAGTAATCTGATTTAATACGACAAGCTAACATTAGCATCGGCTAATGCTAATGTCCACGATGCAATCTTCACTTCTGCAACTCAAACTGTTGAAATTGGACTCGGCCTGTCGGGCTAGGTGACTTGACTCGGGCCCGACTTGGACTTGAGAGATGTTGACTTGATTACAGGGATGTCAGAAAATATTGATGCACAGAAAAATTGCAATATTTCACGTTGTGATGGTATTCAAAAGCCGTGTATTTGTTATTCTGGAGAATGCAAACATTCAGTGTTTCTCTTGCCGGGTGCAATTCACACTCCGACTGCTAGATGGCAGCACTTCTTACCCTCTTCATTCTGATGGAACAAGACCTTGGATAACTGCATGTGAGCTGAAGGCATCTGGACTGGTTTTCATTCAGATCAGATATTTGTATTATGGTCTGTCATGCACTGTATCATCAGAGTCCTGCTTGACTAAACCGCTGATGTTTGTGTTGAAGCGAGAGGTCTTAAGCTCCTCGTTTTTACGTTTAACCTATTAAGTAAGGTTACACACGAGTATTATTGCATGAGGGGATTAGAAAGATGCACCAGTACCTGTCTAGAGTCCGCTCTAATGGCTGACTTGTTTTTATTTTCAGAACATCTGCAGATATTTTAGCCGACATTGCTCTGCTGTTACCCGACTACCTGCTAGCTTGTTACCCGACTACCTGCTAGCTTGTTACCCGACTACCTCCTAGCTTGCTCTATTTGATGGTCTCTCTCTCTCTTTCCTGTTTTAGGTCCTAAACTCTTCAAGGAGCCGAGCGCCAAGTCAAACAAGCCAATCATTCATAATGCAATCTCTCACTGCTGTCTGGCTGGGAAGGTCAACGAACCTCAGAAGAACCAGATCTTGGAGGTCACTTCTTCTCCTGACCTAAACCATTTTATAGTCTACTCATCTCTTAGTTCATGTCTTCTGTATCCATCTATGTTCTACCAGTCTAACCTTTCAGTGCTAACTAGCGTTAGCATGGGATCCCGTATGACTACAACAACGTTTACGGGCCTTTTCTAACATTGCGATGCATCTCTGCGTTACATCCTTGTTCCTTCTGTTTCCCACCAGGAGCTGGAGAAGTGCGAGTCCAACCACCTGATGATCCTGTTTCGTGACGGTGGCTGCCAGTTTCGAGCACTCTACTCGTACTTCCCAGACACCGAAGAGATCCAGAAGCTGACGGGAACGGGACCTAAGAGCATCAGCAAGAAGATGATCGACAAACTGTACAAGTACAGCTCGGACCGAAAGCAGTTTACGGTCATCCCTGCCAAGACGGTGTCGGTCAGCGTGGACGCCCTGACCATCCACAACCACCTGTGGCAGGCCAAGAGAGGAGCCGTGCCAAAGAAAAGTGGGAAGTAGCGGCTTGTTTTAGACCTACTCTCACCTAGAACCATCTTCTCCTCATCTTGCTTCTTTCCTGAATGCACGCCTCACCGCTAAGCTGAACATCTGAAGGTCCACATCTGAGGAACGTGGACCAAAGCAGAAATGACTAGCTCCTCCTCCCTGTGGTGTCGGTGCAATCAGTGCAAGTTTATTTTAGTTTCTCTGAAGCAAGCATGTGGCATTGTGCCTCTCGCATACATGGGATGTTCATTTGTACATGAAGTATTTATTAGTTCAGCACTGTCATGCTTCAGCTGCAGCACTACATCCTTTCTTCTCACCGGGGAAGACTGGACGTGACGTCAGGGAGACGTGTGTTTGACCCTTTAGGGCTGTCGCGATGCCGCTCCAGCAGCCAGGCGTCGAGTCGGGCTGCCTCGCCGGTGGAGCTGCTGCTCTGAACGGTCTTCTTTGTGTGTTTTTGTCACAGGGAGCTTCCCGGGCCTCCCTCGGACATCCGTTGGCCTTTCGCGCATCGTGGTACTGTTGTCTATTTATTCAGCCGCTTTTTAAACCGGACGCTGATCGTGTAGCACTGGATGTGTGTATTACAGATGTAAAAAATCAGCTGTGGTCCTTTTAATTACTTTTATTAGTTAAAACATCCTTTTTTTCTCAAGGATGTGGAAAAAAGGGATTAACAGGCTTTGGTACAACAACAATGCTCTGTTTGCTTTTAGCGGAGCGGAGCGGTCGAGTTTACACTTCATAACGACGACTCTGATGTTTAGAGCTTAGTTGTGTTTTCTCCACTGGGCACTCCCGAACTGTCCTGTACCGAGGTGCACTCATGAACACTTGTCGACAGCTTCTCTTCATGCAATGTAACCCCCCACCCCCCCCCACCCCGAGAGTGTTATTGTCGGCCATCTTTAGTCACACAAGCAGAGCACACACTCTTATTGTGAAGGGTGCTTCCTGCTCCGCTCTGTAACTGTTGGATGACAGTATTTGATGCGTGCGTGCGTGCGCGTGCGTGCGTGCGTGTGCGTGTGTGTGTGTGTGTGTGTGTGTGTGTGTGCGTGTGAGGGTGTGGGTGAGGGACCGTGGTTTAGGTGTGTACCAACATTAAAGAACATTCCTCCGGGGTGTTGACGAACGCCGCCACATGGTCTCTCTTCTCTGTCCTTCCCCAGAAAATCAAAGTGCTTTTTTCTTCTTCATGTTTTTTATTTTTTAACGAACCGCTTTCGGGCCTGGAGGAAAAGCGGAAGTGTCGCACGAGCACTTTACTCGGCGTGTGGTTGCAGATTCCACATGAAAACTCTAACTGCTGCTTCTGCTCGGCCAGACACGACGAGTGAACACGCCCACCGCCGAAGCGTTACTACTGCTGTCTCCACACACCCCGCCGTACCGGACACGCCGTTCGCTGCGTCCCCATGTGTTTGTTTGTTTGTTTGTTTTTAGAGGGCAGCTTGTTTGGGGTGGTTGTAGGTCTCTAAATGTATGAAAGTATATTTTTATGTTCACTAAAAGATTGTATTTGGTCACCGTTTTTGTTACTAGTGTACTTTTCATCCACGTTGATTTTTATCTTTGATCCCATGACATCTATTTATTAAAAAAATCGAAGCACTGAAAACAATAAAATCTCAACTGAATAAAAGTCATTTTTATTTGTTCATCTGTTTATTTTTCTTTTGCTGCTTGTCAACACCCTGAGTTTCATTGCATGATAAGATTTACGTTTCAGTTTTGGTAACGGCTTCTTTTCGTTGAAACTTTGATTTTTATGAACATTAATGGTGAAAACATGAGAAAAGTGTCTTGCGGGGTTTGTTAGAGCACCTGTGACCTCCCTCGGGGCAGCCTGCCCTTCGCTCCACCGGCCGTGTGGAACGGCAGCTTTAACGCCGGCGTTCCTTAACACCACGAGCTCTGATCCTCCATGGAAACCGAGCTTCGTTATCACCTGGTTGTTCAGGTGATCGCAGGACCGTTAAACTTTCCAAACAGCAACCCGAGCGCCCAGCGCTGCGTTTTACTCCTGATCACATGCTGAAGATGAAGGGTGAGTGCTTCTGAAACTCTTAAAGTGATGAAATGTTGAATATAAATCAGAATGTTGGCTTTGGATCCCAGCAGGTGAAGCAGTGCTCGCTCTGCTGTTGGCTGCTGCTCATCTCGGCTGTTCCTGTCGCCAAGTCCACACGGTTTTGGTCTGCAGTGACATCCTAGCAAGTGAGGACGGGTTTATGGTAAAAATGAAATGACTGCTAAAGTAAACAACGGTGATGGTTAAAGGGGCAAAGCAGTGGTGCCCCCAGATAATTCTCATTGGGGGGCCTGGGAACATTTTGAGGGTGGCACGCCAGACTGGTCGGCGTGGTAAAGAGGCGAGTTTAGCCGGTGGCGATGCATCGCCTGCTCCATTATTCTTGGTTAAAAACCAGTATGCGTCCAACACACCTGCTTCCAATTTAAAGAACACAAAGTTTTCAGAAAGACGTTTGAAATTTATTTAGAAAAATTATTGTTGAGTTTTTAGAACATTTTGATTTTGGACTTCGCTAAAAACGAACAAAAACAATAGATGATAACTTTTGTGTTTATTTACTCTTTAACCCTCCCACTGTCCTAATGGCGGCGACCCCGCGAGGAAAGCTGACCACTGGGCAGGACTAGTGGTTCATCCCTTGGGTCCACGTGGCAGGGGTGAGGAGTGAGCACCTCACCCCTGCCACGTGGACCTCACCCATAAAGACAGTGGGAGGGTTAGTTGTATTTTTGTTGGGTTTGATGAATTTATATTTTGAACATTATTATGCCGATAGTGACTGGGCGCCTTTTCCCTTTTAGATTTTGAACCGGGCTGCTCGACGTTACTCGTGACTCTGAGGAACGTTGGAGAGATCAACTCCACGGTGCTGAAAAGTGAAGACCTGGCCTCCATCACCGTGATCTTAAGCAACAACGCTGGCATCACTAGAATCGCTGCAAAAGCCTTCAGCTCCTTTCCCAACCTCCAACGTCTCAACCTGGACGACAACCTGCTGTCCCAGATCAATCGGGACTGGTTCGAGAACCCCGCTGCGCTCGGCGAACTGGAACTCGCTGGTAATCGTATCGAAGAACTGAACGAGTTCTCACTGGACGGACTCACAAACCTGACACATCTCAGGCTGAACAGGAACAGGATCCAGACCATCCACCCGGATAGCTTCAGCTCCCAGAGGAGGCTGGCTGATGTGGATTTGTCTGGGAACAGGCTGATGTGGATGTCAGCGACGGTCTTCGGGTCACTCGTCTCTCTCAGGTCCATCAGACTCGACGGGAACCCCTGGAACTGCTCGTGTGATGCCAAGAACTTTGTTGACTCTGTGAAAGGTTCGTGAAATGTCGGAAAACTCATTTCAGCACATTTAGAGATCTAAAACTTTCTGTCTTCAGGAATGAAGGACAGGAATCTGCTGAATGACTCGTTGGACGTGACCTGTGAGTCTCCACCATCTTTGAAGGCTCGGCCTGTGTGGGGCGTCTCAGTATGTCCGACAGCACCCTCTAAGGAGCCGCCTACACCCACTGGTTCGTCTCCTGCTCGGATTGCTTCACCTTAACTTCTCTGCATGAATAATTGGGCCAAGAGATGTTTTTTATTCCTGCAGCGAAGTCCGTGACATCCCGTCCACTTCAGAAGGAAACCTCTGTCCAGTCCGGTTCCAGTCATCCGCCTACGTTTTCCTCTGTCACTTGTAGATCAGCTGTTTTCCGTTAGTTTGAGTTATTTTGAGGGTAATAATTTCTGCAGCACGTCTCTTGTTCTTTTCAGCAACACTTCCTCCATCCAAGACTTCTGTGGGAACCAAACCCATGGATGCTCCACCTTCCTTCACCGGTACTCCTGCATCTCACTTCTTTCTGTCATTGGTGCCCCCAGGGGGTAACCAGGGGTGGCCATGTACCTCACTGTACACACTTGTATTCGTCTTGTTTTAATTGAGTTTTTATTTATCAGCATAAAAAATAGGAAACGTGGAAACAAAGGGTTAAGTACTTTTACCGTTGATGTAAATTCCTGCTTCGTTTAATCTTTTCCTACGCCGTTATTGTTGTTGTTGGTGAAATTTAAGGGTGAATTAATAACATAGATGTAGTATTTGTGTGGACAAAATTATTACACATGAACAGATTTTCTGTAAATAAACAGGCGTTTTCTTAGCTCAGTAGCACCACCTAGTGGACATTAGTGGAAATGCTTCCTACTCATTGAACGTGGCAGGTTAGTTTAAAACATTTTTTAAATGGAGCTTTTAGCCCTGGCAAGTGTTAGTGTTTATTATTGTTTATATGAAAACTAAAATGTTTTGATAACATTTTAGTTTGATGGAAAATGAACAAATTATTAGAGGAATATTTCCTTTTGCATCATCGTCTTATTCCTCCTAGAAATAAAGTTGAATGCATATTCTTGAATTAGTGGATAATTCCAGAACCTTTAAAAAATATTGTGAACATAAATGAACTCATTATTATTCTAGGAATAAAAAAGGTTTCTGCACGGATGCATTCAGGGCCCCCACGGCTTTTCTTGCGATTGGGTGTCATGCCGTTGCAGTGATGTTATTTTACCAGAAGAGGGCGCCAGAAAACATAATTTATTGCATCTCTGTGAAATTTCTGAATTTGAATAGAAATCCTGTTTATTTAGGACATTTTTCATTAAAAGATTTCTCGTTTGTTTTTCAGAATTTTCATCAGATACCAAATTCTCCACCAACTCCAACCCCACCAGCAAACCAGGTGAGTTTAATCTGTTTTAATCTGTTTAATCTCTGAATCCCCAAATAATAAACGGTGGCTCATTTTAATCTCTTGCAGAAAGCCCACCATGTCCATCTCCAGATCCAAATCCCAACACTCTCACTGCTGTTCTCGGTGGGTTTGATCTCTCATTTACGATTCTTAGTTTGACAAACATGATCGTGTTGAAATGTGTTTCTGCTTCTACGCAGTGCTCATCTCTGTTCTGCTGTTCACGGCGTGTTTGTTGGTAGTGATACAAATCAGGAAATGCAGAAGGCAAACGGTGATGCCCGAATGTCCAAAAAGAGAGCAGCAGGAGGAGCCGGAGGAGGACAGCAGATCGAGTCGTGATCAGTCTCTGAGCGGACCCCCAGATGTGGCTCGCAGGAGATCGTTTACTGGCGTCAGAGCAAAGTCGGCAAACGCTGTCATCCTCACTTCTCCTTTCTGTGTGTCTGAGAAAGATGAAGTGCATTTCCAAAAGGAGAGCAAAGAGGTTTCAGAAAATCCTGGAGAGAAGAAGCTGCTAGCTGAAAGTGGAGGAGGAAATGAGTCGGACCGTTTCACAACCACAGATGTGGGTTCAGAGGATCAAAAACTTGAACACGAAAGTCTAAATCTGCATGAGAACCAGGAGGGCATTAGTGCTGACTATGTGCCATATCTGAGCATCGGCACGGTCAAGAACAAACCCGGTCCTGGTGAGGCCACCTCAGGTCCAGAGGTGAAGAGGAAAGTTTTCAGGAGGATCTCCACTTGGCCTCCTACTGCTGCTCAGTGGCAGGAAAGATGTCAAAAGAAAGAAGAGGATGATGGCTTTGATGTTTGGACACAAAATATATCAGTGAAGCTCTCAGATGACGTGGAGCGGATCAAGAAGGAACATCCCAGCAGCTCCAATCAGTGTGAGAAAAGTCAAACTCAAAGGGATGCTCACACCCCAAAACACTCTGATGCTCTCACGCCTAGTGAGCCTTCTGTCAGCAAGCTAAAGGAGGGAGGAGAGAGCCTAGATCCAGCTAAAAGCATCGCAATCGGCTGTAACGAAGAGTTCACTTCCATGGAGCATCCCGTACTGAACAGCAGCATGAAGGCTGATGTGAGAATAGACCCGATGCGATGCGAGAACGCCAGGCCGAAGGCAGAAAACAGAGCTGCTGGCTCCAAGGCTCCTTCAGGCGGTGCCTCGCCTGATGATGAAACTCTGCTGTCAGGGAACGAATACGTCTTCATGGACCTGCTCCACGAGGTGGTTCAGAACCACGGCCGCTGGACTCGAGAGAGGTGGAAGCAGATGCGTGTCAACAAGCAGCGGCGATAGGAAATGGGTTTAAACACTCTTTAAAGCCGAGTTATCTAAAAGCTTTAGACATGTGTAAAAAGTGATGGTCTTACCCTGTTCTCTTATATAATACAGAGAACAAGTCACTTTTAATTAAGCCTGCACCCCCCATCCCTTTGAGCCCCACCCAATTCAAACCTAGCACCACTCATCATTAGCCAATAGGATTCGACATCTGACACCACAGCACGTTTGAGGAAGTACCTTTCTTAAGGACAAGCATGTCACTAAAGGTGCATGAAGTAAGAGCACCATCTTATGGTCAAATCTAGGTACTGCAGTCCTTGTTTCAAACAAATTAGCCATTAGCATTGTTAGCCTCTAGCCATCTTTACCTGATATTAGAGGAAAAAAAGGATGTCGTGGCTTCTTAAGGGTACATAACTCCTGTGATGCTCCTTTTACTGGCTTCCATTCATTCCACAACATTGCTGTGCTTTCCCGGCCAGTGCCGGATGACAGGCGCCCGTGTAATGTTACTGTGGGCTCAAGTATGATTGGCTCTGGAACCAGGAAGTATACAGGTGGGACAGATTGTAAACAAAGGCTACAGGTGTTTCTCAATGTCAAGGAACCTCGCCTAGATGCCTAGGTCCTGCCTCGGTTGCCTAGGAGATGCGTCATCAGAAACCGTTCCAGTGTTCATGTTCTGCTGAGTTTGTTAGTCTGGTCTTCAATCAGCCTAAAAGAGCACACCTCACCCCTCTGTTCATGGAGCTCCACTGGCTACCGCTAGCAGCACGCATCAAATTCAAACTGCTAACACTAGCATACAAAGTCCGAGATGGTACGGCTCCCATCTACCTGAATCCTCTTGCAAAGGCTTACGTCTCGGCCCGGCCGCTCCGGTCATCACAGGATTGTCGGCTAGCAGTGCCTACACCACGCTCAGGACAATCCAGACTCTTCTCATGCATCGTTCCACAAATGTGGAATGACCTTCCAAGCACTACCAGAACAGGAGCTTCCTTTTCAATTTTCAAGAAACTCCTGAAGACCCTGCTCTTCAGAGAGCATCTTCTAAACTAGCACCCTCCCTGCACCCGTCCCCCCCTCTCTACTGTCCACTCCTTTGTTCCCTCCTCTCCATGATTGATGTCAAGTTGTTGTTGTTGTTGTTGTTGTTGTTAGCCTCAAGGGCAACATGCCGATTATCACTTGTAAGTCGCTTTGGACAAAAGTGTCTGCTAAATACATAAACATAGCCATTTAGCTAGCTGAGCAAGGATACACAGGAGGTATCTTGTAGCCTAGCCTTGGAGAATACAGCGTGGTATTTTCAAAAGGATGGCAGATCAGGAGCCGGCCTACATGTAAGTCAACTAATTGCAGCTATCGGGCTAATATCTGTTTTTTTTTTTTTTTTAGATCCAAAGCAGTTAGCTACGGTTGGTTAGTTGCTTAGCAGTTGCAGCTTTGGTGGCTAGCATGTAGTAACTCGCTTATATATTTAACTAATTTATACACAATTTAAAAAGTAAAAGGCTCGTTATATGTTTGTATTGAAACGTATGTAAACATTAAATATAAGATTACCTCACGTGTCATGTGACGTGACGGCCTCGTAAGCCGCGGGCACATGATTGACCATGGAAGGAAGATGTCCTTGTAAACCAGGTGCCTTGGTATTGAGAAACAACCCCTAGACAGCTGAGCAGGAGATCTGTTTTGTTGTAAACTCCCAACATGAGTGAGGCATTAGGCTGTTTTGTGATTATTTCACAGTAAAGTTCCTACTTATTGCATTAAACAGCATGGCATGCGAATATTCATGGTAGTCCAGGTCCACGCTCACAAATGACTTGTTGCTTTCAGCGGTTTCACAGAAGCAGTGAGAGGGGCTTAAAGATGCTATCTATCTTTCTGCCACTAGGTGGTGCCCTCAGAAAACTGCAGATTTCTGCTTTGAGTAACATTTTCTTTCTAAAATGATGCTGCAATCAAAAAGCTAATAGAGAATAAAAACCAGAGGAAAATCCTCACAATCTTAGTTTTCTAAAGCTTTGTCCTTTTTTTTACTAGCTTTTCAATAATGAGCACATAGTTTTCATACAAATACATAAGTGTTTTCATACTGTTTGTGTCTCCATGATTGCTCTTATTTCTGTACAGGACGTCTCTCTTCAGAGCGCCTAAAGCTTTTCATAAATAAAGTTTGGCTGAATCTTCAGTTTGAGTCTAAAGGAAACATCGGTTCTCAGTGGGCGTCGGCTGCATGCAGCATTTATTCGTTCAGACTTCAGAAGAACACTTCTTTTAGAAATCGTACAAAATGAATGGACCTCTTGTAGACAACAACTGAAAAACAAAGTGGAGGTAAACGTCACATATCGAGACAACATGCATGTTCCATTCCTAATACTCAGTATCGAGTAACAAGCAGCTGACTCTTCTGGACATGGGCTTAGATGTCCTGCAGAAACGTTTTGTTCTTGGCAAGCTTTTATTAAAAACATGCTTTTAAGAGAGAACATGCCTCTTTGTTATTTGGGTCTGATACAATTCAGCTTCTAGTGTGGATTGAGATGTTGCATCACTACATCTGTATGGCGACTGTAAAGCAGGAGATCTGGAAAAAACCCAAACAAAACGTCTTTTATCACTTCACAATTATCAGATTAAAACAAAACCCCAAACCTGCAGAGGGAGTCCTTCTGACTGGGGATTAAAAACGGTCCTTATCCAGGTTAAAGGGTCGTGCTGTTGCGCTCAGAGCTTAGTGCAAAAACGGTTCAAGTCCTCTTCACTTTCATGACATGAAACATGTATAAAGTTCCTATTTACAGAAACCTAAGATGCAGATCAGAATACTGACAGCTATATATTTATACACACAAGGTGATTCGTGTAACAGGAAGTGCCTCTTTACCAAAGTAAAAGTTTGAAATGCTAAATAATGACTGCTAAACTCCCTGCTACCTAGACTTCAGCTCACGAGTTCTGCAACTTGATATCGAGTCATTCAAGTAGAAACACGAGGTCCTGGCTCATTTCCATACATGCTGACATGGATTAGGAGTTCAGCATTCAAACCGCTGATATGTCTGTCGTGTGATTTGGATAAAAACTCAGTTAAATGAATTAAAATGACTGTAAACCAGGTCAGAAACGTGGTGAAATGTCAGGAAGAGCAATACTGTAGGTCACCACTGTAAACAAAGATGGATGCACAATTTTATATTCTGAAAATAATCACGAGGCTTTTGAAAAATATACGTAGTGATCATACCTCATAATCAAATGATTTGTCAGATAAAATGTTCAAATATCCATAAACATGTAAACAACATAAAGCCTAAAAGTCAAGATACTTTTCTAATTTTAACTGTTATTTGCAGCTAAATGCTAAATTAGGCTTTAAAATGAATAAATAATTCATCACTTATATGAACTCTGAGTGTTTGCTCCGCGGCAGCACGTGTGACGAGTCCGGTCTGAAAATGATAAACACAACAAACAATGGCACCTCATAAATAATCCAACAACATTTACAGATCAGTAGAATAAAAAAGGGTCAAATGGCACAAACATGACTCGTGGCGTTAAAATAACTTCACATTCAGTTTAAATAACACAGCTAAAGGTAGAAATGCTAACTTGGGTAGTAAAAGTGCAACTCGAGCGTGTGAAACCACAAATGAGGCCCGATGATGTCTGACAGAATTAAATTGAGGTAATAAATGAAGAAGTGCACATGCGCCGGACGTTCCACTAAATCCTGGAAAAGATGGAAACCCTTCTGTTTGCTGACGTGGCCGAGGGTGAAGGCAGACAGCCGAAGAGGAAGTCCGCCGGAGTCGTGGCACGACGGCAGCTCCGCCGCTGGGCACAGTGTCGGATTTCTGCAGAGAAACCTTTTTGACGGCATCGTTTGTTTATCTGCGGAGGGGCGGGGCTGAATAACGAGGCACTCCGTGCGTCCTCCTGTAGCAGCTCGGTAGAAAACATCCGGTCTGTCAGGAACGCTTGTGTGTGTTCTGGTCCGGTCCGAGGCTGAGGGATGTTCATGGCTCTTGTTAGGCTTTCGTTTGTGGGACTCGAGAGCCCCGTCGACCCTCGCTCAGGGCTTCGGGGTCAAGGGTCATGGCGTTGGAGGACTGCGGTCATTTCAAAGATGAGTCTCGTCTCTCGTCTCTGTGCCAAAGTCCTGCTGGTTCCGGACGTTACGAGCGTGTCCCATGTGAGAGTCCTCTGGCATGTGTGCCAGTGGGTCGGACCGAATAATGTACCTTGAAGGTGAAGGACAAATGAAATGATTAATCACACGTAATCCTAAACGTACATGTAGAGCTGACATGGTAGTCTTAATCACTGGGAGGGATTCTCATATGATTTGTTCTTTTCTGCATTCATTTCCAGCTGCATGCTTTTACTGGCTTCAGCTGAAAGCTTCACTCACATGGAGGGAACGTCTAGATTCTGATGGTGTACAAAGTGTGAGGTCGGTCACTCCAGGTAAGACCAGAACCAAATGGGCCCAAGGTTAACTCCCAACTCTGAGTTTTAGGGTAAGAAAGCCAAAGAATGTTGGTTGCCAGGGAAACCGCGAGAGAGCAAGGCCTTGTGACCTTCTGGCTGGTGGGTGTGCCAGACCGGACTTCACAGGAGAGAGAGAATAAAACTACGGATCTGGGGACCAGCCTCAGATCCTTCACGGGTCCAGGAGGTGAAGGAATCTCCCCGACGTACAGGGAGTGCAGAATTATTAGGCAAACGAGTGTTTTGTCCACATCATCCTCTTCATGCATGTTGTCTTACTCCAAGCTGTATAGGCTCGAAAGCATACTACCAGTTAAGCATATTAGGTGATGTGCATATCTGTAATGAGAAGGGGTGTGGTCTAATGACATCAACACCCTATATCAGGTGTGCATAATTATTAGGCAACTTCCTTTCCTTTGGCAAAATGGGTCAAAAGAAGGACTTGACAGGCTCAGAAAGGTCAAAAATAGTGAGATATCTTGCAGAGGGATGCAGCAGTCTTAAAACTGCAAAGCTTCTGAAGCGTAATCATCGAACAATCAAGCGTTTCATTCAAAATAGTCAACAGGGTCGCAAGAAGCGTGTGGAAAAACCAAGGTGCAAAATAACTGCCCATGAAGTGAGAAAAGTCAAGCGTGCAGCTGCCAAGATGCCACTTGCCACCAGCTTGGCCATATTTCAGAGCTGCAACATCACTGGAGTGCCCAAAAGCACGAGGTGTGCAATACTCAGAGACATGGCCAAGGTGAGAAAGGCTGAAAGACGACCACCACTGAACAAGACACACAAGCTGAAACGTCAAGACTGGGCCTAGAAATACCTCCAGACTGATGTTTCTAAGGTTTTATGGACTGATGGAATGAGAGCGAGTCTTGATGGGCCAGATGGACGGCCCGTGGCTGGACTGGTAAAGGGCAGAGAGCTCCAGTCCCACTCAGACGCCAGCAAGGTGGAGGTGGAGTACTGGTTTGGGCTGGTATCATCAAAGATGAGCTTGTGGGGCCTTTTCGGGTTGAGGATGGAGTCGAGCTCAACTCCCAGTCCTACTGCCAGTTTCTGGAAGACACCTTCTTCAAGCAGTGGTACAGGAAGAAGTCTGCATCCTTCAAGAAAAACATGATGTTCATGCAGGACAATGCTCCATCACACGCGTCCAAGTACTCCACAGCGTGGCTGGCAAGAAAGGGTATAAGTTGCCTAATAATTATGCACAGTAATAGTCACCTGCACACACAGATATCCCCTAAAATAGCTAAAAGTAAAAACTACTTCCAAAAACATTCAGCTTTGATATTAATGAGTTGTTTGGGTTCATTGGGAACATGGTTGTTGTTCAATAATAAAATTATTCCTCAGAAATACAACTTGCCTAATAATTCTGCACTCCCTGTAATACACGACTGAATAAATGGTTGTAATTAGGGATGCATCGGTTCCACTTTTCCAAACCAATACGGTACCGATACTTGGATCTGAGTACTCGCCGATAGCGATTACCGATAGGATACTTCTACCACACAAATAAACACAATGAACTGGAATACAGGTTTTATTTTCTTCTTTACTTTCAAGAGAAGACTGAGGTAGATAAATAAATGTATTAACAGTAAAGATCACAAAACTAAAATGAGGTGAACAGAAATGACAAAGTTACACTGAAGCCACTCTGAGGAAACTGCATCGGATTACTTTTACTCTCGTTGTAATGATCGAAGCTTAAAGGCGTGTTCGGCCCTCTCTCCTTATCTGTGCATAGAAGAAGAAGTCGGAACGTGGATAAACGGCTAATGATAGCATCAGCAGTAATTACCTTAAGGTTAAAATCAGTAACATCATGGAGGAACATCTTCTTTATCCCTTTGTGGCTCAGATGTTTACGTCAGTATTACAGAAGCTGGAGGAGGGGCTTAAAGGTCTACGCCGTTGTTCTGCCTCTACATGGTGCCCTCTGGGAAAACTCTCCTGGTTTCTGCTTTAAACCGTTATTTACAGAACAAGCTAGGTTTGGAACACAAACACTGCCACAGAACACTCACCCTCGGGTAGCTTCCCCGGGAAGCTTCTGCTGGAACCGGAGGCCTGTATTTCAAGACCAGTCGCCGTTTTCTAGGTCTAAACGTCTTTTGTTGTCCGTGACTTCAACTGGTGTTTTTCTTCTCTTTATTTAATGGTTAATTAATGCTTAATAATGCACTAATGTTAATAAAGGGACCCTTTTAGTTAGGTGTCATCAGTGTTTTTCTTTTTGGGACTCTGGTAGTTTGTCCTAAAGTTGAAGTGGTAGCAGCCGGCTGTTTCTCCTTCTCTGATGTTTCTGAGATGAGGTTCTCTCACTCCGGTGCTTTGCTAAATACGTGAGTGTGTGACGAGTGGAGGACCCAGGGAGGTGCAGCGGTTTGGTGAGGTCAACAACAGGATGGTTCGATAGTTGCTTCCAGGTTTTTAGACAAATGCCGGTGAACCACTTCATACATTATAATTACCATTTATTTATTTATAGTTGTTGCTATTCTATGTTAGGAGACGTGAAAAATGTTTTCGGTTAATTATAAAATTGTCATTTCAGCTTAAAACCATGCAGGATGACTCCATTTTGCTGGGAAGGTTTTGCATATTTAGCAGAGCATGATTTGAATTAGCCGACATTCCTAAAAGCTGGAAATTAATGATCAGATTAACAGCAGCTGTTTAAAATGGAACTTTTTTGATTGATTTATAAACTAATTTGACCCTTCGTGGGTTGGGTTTCTTACATCTCGCTGGGCTGTAGCTATAAACACAAAGAAAAACAGCCTTACACGATGTCGTTGAGCTCCAGCATGGTGTCAGGAGGAGGATTGATGAGAACGTAGGACAGCGTGTTCTGGTGGTCGTTCATCTCATCTGTAAAAAGAGCCAGAGGAGACGTTCAGAGCTGCTCTGGAGCCCTCCGTCGTCCTCCCAGTTAGACAGGTCATCAGCCCGAAAACGGGCTTTAACCTCTGAGAACACTCACCCACACCTTTTCATGAGGCCTAACTGTTTAAATGTAAATATATGTAAGTATTCTGAAAACGTTCAGGGTAATAGTACTGGTAATAGTGCTGGTAATAGTGCTGGTAATAGTGCTGGTAATAGTACTGGTAATAGTACTGGTAATAGTACTGGTAAAAGTGCTTGTAATATTGCTGGTAATAGTACTGGTAATAGTACTGGTAATGGTACTGGTAAAAGTGCTTGTAATAGTGCTGGTAATAGTACTGGTAATAGTACTGGTAATAGTGCTGGTAATAGTGCTGGTAATGGTACTGGTAATAGTACTGCTAATAGTATTGGCAATGGTACTGGTAAAAGTGCTGGTAATAGTACTGGTAATGGTACTGGTAATAGTACTGTAATAGTGCTGGTAATAGTACTGGTAATAGTGCTGGTAATGGTAAAGGTAATAGTACTGCTAATAGTACTGCTAATGGTACTGGTAATAGTGCTGGTAATGGTACTGGTAATAGTACTGCTAATAGTAATGTACTGGTACTAGTACTGGTAATGGTACTGTAATAGTACTGGTAATAGTACTGCTAATAGTACTGGTAATGGTACTAGTAATGGTACTGATAATATTACTGTAATGGTACTGGTAATAGCACTGGTAATGGTACTGGTAATAGCACTGGTAATAGTACTGGTAATAGTACTGAAATGGTACTGGTAATAGTACTGGTAATAGTACTGCTAATAGTACTGGTACTAGTACTGGTAATGGTACTGGTAATAGTACTGGTAATAGTACTGCTAATAGTACTGGTAATGGTACTAGTAATGGGACTGGTAATAGTAATGGTACTGGCAATAGTACTGTAATGGTACTGGTAATAGCACTGGTAATAGTACTGGTAATAGTACTGAAATGGTACTGGTAATAGTACTGGTAATATTACTGCTAATAGTACTGGTAATGGTACTGGTAATAGTGCTGGTACTAGTGCTGGTAATAGTACTGGTAATGGTACTGGTAATAGTACTGTAATAGTGCTGGTAATAGTACTGGTAATAGTACTGCTAATAGTATTGGTAATGGTGCTGGTAATGGTACTGGTAATATTACTGGTGATAGTACTGGTAACGGTACTGGTAATGGTACTGCTAATAGTACTGGTAATGGTACTGGTAATGGTACTAGTACTGGTAATGGTACTGGTAATAGTACTGCTAATAGTACTGGTAATGGTACTGGTAATAGTACTGCTAATAGTACTGCTAATAGTACTGGTAACAGTACTGCTAATAGTACTGGTAATAGTACTGGTAATGGTACTGTAATGTTACTGGTAATAGCACTGGTAGTAGCACTGGTAATGGTACTGGTAATAGTACTGGTAATAGTACTGGTAATGGTACTGTAATAGTACTGGTAATGGTACTGGTAATAGTACTGTAATGTACTAGTAATGGTACTGGTAATAGTACAGGTAATAGTACTGGTAATGGGACTGGTAATAGTACTGGTAATAGTACAGGTAATAGTACTGTAATGGTACTGGTAATAGTACTGGTACTAGTACTGGTAATGGTACTGTAATAGTACTGGTAATGGTACTGGTAATAGTACTGTAATGTACTAGTAATGGTACTGGTAATAGTACAGGTAATAGTACTGGTAATGGGACTGGTAATAGTACAGGTAATAGTACTGGTAATGGTACTGGTAATAGTACTGGTACTAGTACTGGTAATGGTACTGTAATAGTACTGGTAATGGTACTGGTAATAGTACTGTAATGTACTAGTAATGGTACTGGTAATAGTACAGGTAATAGTACTGGTAAGGGGACTGGTAATAGTACTGGTAATAGTACAGGTAATAGTACTGTAATGGTACTGGTAATGGTACTGGTAATAGTACTGGTAAAAGTACTGCTAATAGTACTTGTAATAGTACTGGTAATGGTACTAGTACTGGTAATGGTACTGGTAATGGTACTAGTACTGGTAATGGTACTGGTAATAGTAATGTAATGGTACTGGTAATAGAACTGGTAATAGTACAGGTAATAGTAATGTAATGGTACTGGTAATAGGACTGGTAATAGTACTGGTAATAGTACTGGTAATTGTACTGGTAATAGAACTGGTAATAGTACTGCTAATGGTACTGGTACTAGTACTGGTAATGGTACTGGTAATGGTACTGGTAATGGTGCTGGTAATAGTGCTAGTAATAGTATTGGTAATGGTACTGGTAATTGTACTGTAATAGTGCTGGTACTAGTACTGGTAATAGTACTGCTAATAGTACTGGTAATGGTACTGGTACTAGTACTGGTAATAGTACTGGTAACGGTACTGGTAATAGTACTGCTAATAGTACTTGTAATAGTACTGGTAATGGTACTGGTAATGGTACTGGTACTGGTAATAGTACTGGTGATGGTACTGGTAATAGTACTGGTAATAGCACTGGTAATAGTACTGGTAATGGTACTGGTAATAGTACTGCTAATAGTACTGGTAATGGTACTAGTACTGGTAATTGTACTGTAATAGTACTGGTAAAAGTACTGGTAATGGTACTGGTAGCAGTACTGTAATGATACTGGTAATGGTACTGGTAATAGTACTGGTAATAGTACAGGTAATAGTACTGGTAACAGTACAGGTAATGTACTGGTAATAGTACAGGTAATAGTACTGGTAATAGTACAGGTAATCGTACTGGTAATAGTACTGTAATGGTACTGGTAATGGTACTGGTAATATTACTGGTAATGGTACTGGTACTGGTAATGGTACTGGTAATAGCACTGGTAATGGTACTGGTAATGGTACTGGAAATAGTACTGGTAATAGCACTGATAATAGTACTGGTAATGGCACTGGTAATGGTACTGGTAATGGTACTGGAAATAGTACTGGTAATAGCACTGATAATAGTACTGGTAATGGTACTGGTAATAGTGCTGGTAATGGTACTGGTAATAGTACTGCTAATAGTAATGCTAATAGTACTGGTAATGGTACTGGTAATAGTACTGGTAATAGTGCTGGTAATGGTACTGGTAATAGTACTGCTAATAGTACTGGTAATGGTACTGGTACTGGTAATGGTACTGGTAATAGTACTGGTAATAGTACTGGTAATAGCACTGGTAATGGTACTGGTAATGGTCCTAGTACTGGTAATGGTACTGTAACAGTACTGGTAATAGTACTGGTTATGGTACTGGTAATAGTACTGTAATGGTACTGGTAATAGTACTGGTAATAGTACTGCTAATAGTACTGGTAATGGTACTGGTAATAGTACTGGTAATAGTACTGGTAACAGTACTGGTAATAGTAGTGGTAATAGTTCTGCTAATAGTACTGGTAATGGTAATGGTACTGTAATGGTACTGGTAATGGTACTGGTAATAGTACTGGTAATAGCACTGGTAATAATACTGGTAACAGTACTGGTAATAGTACTGGTAATAGTACTGCTAATAGTACTGGTAATGGTACTAGTACTGGTAATGGTACTGGTAATGGTACTGGTAATAGTACTGGTAATAGCACTGGTAATGGTACTGGTAATGGTACTAGTACTGGTAATGGTACTGTAATAGTACTGGTAATAGTACTGGTAATAGTACTGTAATGGTACTGGTAATAGTACTGGTAATAGTACAGGTAATAGTATTGCTAATAGTACTGGTAATGGTACTGGTAATAGTACTGCTAATAGTACTGGTAACAGTACTGGTAATAGTGCTGGTAATAGTACTGGTAATGATACTGGTAGTTGTACTGTAATAGTGCTGGTAATAGTACTGGTAATAGTACTGGTAATAGTACTGCTAATAGTACTGGTAATGGTACTGGTACTAGTACTGGTAATAGTACTGGTAATGGTACTGATAATAGTACTGGTAACGGTACTGGTAATAGTACTGGTAATAGTAGTTGTAATAGTACTGGTAATTGTACTGGTAATAGTACTGCTAATAGTACTGGTAATGGTACTAGTACTGGTAATGGTACTGTAATAGTACTGGTAATAGTACTGGTAATGTACTGGTAGTAGTACAGTAATGGTACTGGTAATGGTACTGGTAATAGTACTGGTAATAGTACAGGTAAAAGTACTGGTAACAGTACAGGTAGTGGTACTGGTAATAGTACAGGTAATAGTACTGGTAATAGTACTGTAATGATACTGGTAATGGTAATGGTAATAGTACTAGTAATGGTACTGGTAATGGTACTGGTAATAGTAATGGTAATAGCACTGGTAATAGTACTGGTAATGGTACTGGTAATGGCACTGGTAATAGTGCTGGTAATAGTACTGGTTATAGTACTGCTAATAGTACTGCTAATAGTACTGGTAATAGTACTGGTAATGGATACTGGTAACGATGCTGGTAATAGTGCTGGTAATAGTATTGGTAATGGTACTGGTAATTGTACTTTAATAGTGCTGGTACTAGTACTGGTAATAGTACTGCTAATAGTACTGGTAATGGTACTGGTACTAGTACTGGTAATAGTACTGGTAACGGTACTGGTAATAGTACTGCTAATAGTACTTGTAATAGTACTGGTAATGGTACTGGTAATGGTACTAGTACTGGTAATGGTACTGGTAATAGTACTGGTGATGGTACTGGTAATAGTACTGGTAATAGCACTGGTAATAGTACTGGTAATGGTACTGGTAATAGTACTGCTAATAGTACTGGTAATGGTACTAGTACTGGTAATTGTACTGTAATAGTACTGGTAATAGTACTGGTAATGGTACTGGTAGCAGTACTGTAATGATACTGGTAATGGTACTGGTAATAGTACTGGTAATAGTACAGGTAATAGTACTGGTAACAGTACAGGTAATGTACTGGTAATAGTACAGGTAATAGTACTGG